TCCTTGGTTTTACTGGTGCTGATCTGGAGGTAGTTCAGCTGGCACCAGTCCACAAAGCCTTGGTTCAGTCCTCTGTACTCCTTGTTGTCCCCATCAGTGATGAGGCCGACTCTTGCACAGGAGAAAGGTTAAGAAAGGTTAAGAAAGGTTAGGGGTTACTGACGGCCTCTGATAGAGACTAGATCAGAAACAACATTGCCAGATTGGTCTTTAATTTGTGAAATTAAGCGAGAGCTCAGAAGAGTACAAACGCGCTATAAGAACCAGTTCATTTACCAATGCTGTTGAAGCAGTGGCCCTAATCCTCTTCCATACTGATGTGTATTGTTGGAATTTTTTAAGGCTCATGTCCCCCCATTATTTTTTCTTACACAATTACCTCATAGTTACCACCACACATTTGGTTTTATCCTTTACTGTACACATATATGTATTGTAGAATATTTTGGATTTAGATTGTTACACTAAGACACTAACAGAGAGAGGCGTCTACTCGGGGGAATTTGAGGAGGATGGTCTACCTGCACTAGAGATGGCACCAGACTGACACTAGATTCTAGATAGCTGGATACTAGCTTCAAAGATTGGAGGATTAACGGCTTTATGTATGGTAATGGAGGAAGGTAGATTACATAGTTTTGAAAAGATTAAAGAAAAAATATTTATTAGAAAAAGGATTTTCATGGATACCTACAGATGAGGCATTTTGTCAGCAAAAAGATAAAATCTAAGGCTGAATTAAGCAAACAGCTGCTGGACTTATTTGAAAGGACATAGAGCTCAAATAAAGATAGAGACATTATCTCGGCCTGTATGGGTTATAAAACAGGAAATCACTCGACCCGATGTATCAAAACAAAATGGGAAGGAGGGAGGAATAGCTATAATGGAGGAAGAGTGGACAACAATATGCACATGTCAATGGAAATGTAGCAGCTCACAGAGCTGGAGGGAATTTGGTTGGAAAAGCCTGATAAAATATTTTATTACACCAACAATCTCACTATGAAGGTAACCCTCCTGTTTGCTGGAGAAATTGTGGAAACACAAATGGAAATCATTATCATATTTCTGGGACTGTCATGTTATTAAAACGTATTGGAAGGGAATACATGTAACAGGAGATATTTGGACGTTATTTACATTTAGAAAGTAAAACTTTATTTTTTGGACTCATGCCAGAAAGATGGACAAAGAACGATAAATATTTGTTTAATATTTTATTGGTGGCAGGCAAAAAAGCCCTCACAAAAAATGGCGTTCGTGTGAGAGCCCAACTATGACCATGTGGACGGATGGATATTTACAGGATGGAGAACATGACAGCGGATGTGAACAGACGGACCTGTGTGTATCACACTGGAAGAAATGGATGGACTACATAATAACACGGAGGCCAGAGTCTGACTTTGTTAACATTAGATAATATATTATTTCTATTACTGGTAATTAAATCTCACTCCCTAAGTGTTTATGTTTTTTGTTTTGGTTTTTTTTTTCTTTTTTTCTGCTTTTGTGTGGATGTTTTTGTTGTTGAAAAAAAAAGAAAAACACATGTAGATGGATATCTAATTACTGAAGCTGATGCACGTGATACTGTACAGTGATTCCTAAATGTCAATAACAATTATATTTTTAAAAAAGAAACAGGGCCATACCTTCTGGTGTTAGGAGATGGATGCACTCTTCATGCTGCAGTTTAGCAGCAGAAATCAGTCAAGCAGTCATTAAC